GCCGAGGAATGGTTTCTGAGAGCTGGGAGGGCTCACAGCACTTTGCTGCAAAGTCCTGGGGCAGAAGCCTCCTTATGGCACAATCCATGCAATTAATTCCTATGCTGTTTCACCTATGACTTACCTTTTGTTTTTATCCTCCCTTTAGAGTATCAGTGTGACCAGAGGAGCCAGGAAAAGAGTAAGTGCTGACATCACCAGTCACAAAACAAGATGTTAGTGGCATTTTGTTTGTTGAAAATATTATCCATATGTTTTTAGAAAATTTGAACAATCTAGAAGAACCTTAAAATTATGTTTAAGCTACTACCCTAGGATAATCTTTTATTTAACATGCAATGTTATATCCTCCCAGATGTTCTTATGTACATCAAAGATATATATATATATATATATATATATGTACATATATATAAATGTCATAAAACAGTATATTATTTTATGTCCTGTTTCTCATATAAATATTTAGGGTGCTTTCCATTGCTAGTATATTTTTATTGTATCATTTGAAATTATTGCATAATATTTAACCATATGTCCCTTAAGGCCATACCGTGATGCATTCCACTACTGCCTCACTTCAGACGAACATGTTGCCACTTCCTCTTTTTCACTATTATGACCAACCTTCAATTACCCGTATCTCTGGGCACCGCTTTGGTGGTTTTCTTTTTCTATTTTTCGGGGAGAATTGGTTTTTTTGAGTCAGGGTTTCTCTGTGTAGCGCTGGCTGTCCTGGAACTTGTTTTGTAGATCAGGCTGACCTTGAACTCACTGAGATCCACCTGCCTCTGCCTCCCAAGTGCTGGGATTAAAGACATGCACCGCCACCACCACCACCTGTGGTTATTTTCTTATGGTAAATTCCTGTATGTAAACATTTGAGTCAAAGAATATAAACAGTTATTAGATTTGGGTAAATATTTCCACATTATTCTTTAGATAGGTTGTGCCCATTTCTGGGAGCCAACCTTCCACACTGAAGGTTCTTCTTGTTTTTCAGTTTTATTATGGAAGAAAAATGTATTGCTTTGTTTTGAATGTCCTTGACTGTTGGTAAAGATGAGTATTTCAGATACCCCATGACCACTTGGCAAGGCACTGAATACTACTCTATCGAGCAATGCAGAACTTCCATCCTTGACTCTTTTGCCTTAAAGGAGGAAAGTACAAGGCAGTATTTGTTTTAAGAGTCATTTTTAAAAGTAATCTTGATGTGGCAGACTGGAAGGCCAAGTACAAATTGGGATAGCAGTGGTTGGAGAACAGTTTGGGCTCTCTCTGGCTGTCTAGGCACATTGCATAAAGCCTTTGGCAGCTGATCCTGGACTTGAGCTTCTAGGCTTTGTGGAAAGCAATAGGAAGAGCTGGTTCTTCTGATGCTCTGCTGGGGACAGTCCCATGACAGTGTTTCAGGTGAGCCCTGACCCCGGGACAGAGGTGGCTATGATCTCCAGGCACTGAGAACCCCAACATCAGCAGTTCCTTTGGCGTCTTCCATGAGTGGTTGGTTGGTCATTTTGGATTATGTGAACAACAGATAGAACTTGGCTTCAGGGAGGACTCGTAAATAAAGGGTGTTCCTGCAGCATCACTGGCTTGTTTGAGCAGATTGGGCACTCCTGAGCCTGTTGTGGTTTTTGTTCAGGATAAAGACTCAGGGACCGAAGCGGGAGAAGGGACTGATGAATGGTCCCAATCCAGAGCCACAGTTCGGCCCCCAGACCAGCTGGAGTTGACTGACGCGGTGAGCACACTCCAGCCCCTGCTCATTTTATCTCCTCCTGCTTCAGGTGTGGGTTCTTCCGTAGTGCAAATTAGAAGCCTGAGCAGTACCTACAGGTGCCCTGGTGGCCCAAGCCTCAGAAGAAGCAGGAGGAAGAGGAGCTGTACAAATGACCCTCCTGGTGTTTCTCTCCCTCAGGAGCTAAAGGAGGAGTTCACTCGCATCCTGACAGCCAACAACCCACATGCACCCCAGAACATTGTCAGGTACAGCTTCAAAGTAAGTCACCCCTCCTGGGCAGGGCCTCAATGTCTTCTTTTACTTCTTGAAGTAAAAGGCCCCTGGCCAGTTTGCAATTTTTTTTAAATTTTAGTACATTTTATTGAGGGGGGAGAGGAGAGAATACACATGTGTGCAAAAGAGAGAAGAGAAGGGAGGGGGAGACAGGGTTACAGTGTGTATGTGGATGTCTGAGGTCAGAAATTAGCTTTCCAGAGTTGCTTCTCTTTCCACCCT